CCCGAAAAAGAGAAAGGGAGACTTTGGTTTGTGGCGTGGGAGTTTTTTTTCCCAACGAAAAGCCTTCTTTTGAGAACGTGAACATGAGCGGTAGACTGAACACCCACACAATCTCGATTTGACAGAGAGATACTGTCATCGCCATCTCTTTGGACATGCATGTGTTAAGCAAATGGACTGAACTGAATTCAGAGTGATTCTGTCGCATTTTCGATCTTAGGCGAACGATGGCGGGTCTACGACCTCGCAAGGCACAACCCTCTTAACCAATGTTCAAACTTGTACATCATTTCTACTATTTATTGTGTCTGTCATCATTACAAAGATGCTCACCTATAATTAATCTCTTAGGTATAGGCACAGCCGGCCCATAGTGCGTTTTGATTTATTTTAATGTTAATTGAATGATTTTTTTTTTTAATAATATGGACTATGAAAGAATGAATAATAAAAAAATATGTAAATGTTTTTTTTTGGAATTCTTTGTATATAGTCCAAGAAGTAATGATAAAAAATAACGGTAAATTCCTACTAAATCTCCAATCCCTTTTTTATTTGCCTTGTCAGTTCTCAAGTTAATTAATTTCCTCTGCACTCACTCTTACACATTTCTCTTTCCACTTCACTCCCCATATATATACTAATGTTATTATTTTTCATTTATTTTGGCTGAAACCTTTTTTAATTCCATTTTCGGTCTCTCTCTCTCTCTCTCTCTCTCTCTCTCTCTCCTATTCTCTCTTCCTCTCCGTCTTTGTCTCTCTGTTATTTTTCACTCTGTTTCTTTTCAATTTTCGCCCTCGCCGAGCTGCTCTCTGTTCATCGTTGTCCGTCGTCATCTTCATCGTCCATCGTTCATCAGCATCGCCTTCGTCTCTCGCCGTTCGTCTCTCTGGGAAGCAATGGCCGGCTCCAAAAAGAAGACTGCATGCAAACCGTCCTCCTTCTCTCCATGCAAACCTTCCACCTCCTCGTCACCTAGGAAGGCATCAAGGGTAATTTCTGATTTTTGGGCTTTGTTCCAAATTTTAGGATTTTTTCAATTTAGGTGTTGAAAAGGAAATTAAGGGCTTGAATTCAAATTTAGGGCTTTGCTCTGAGTAATTAGGGTATTTCTTTAATTGAATTTATCTGAATTTCATAATTTTAGGGCTTCAATTCAAATTTAGGGGTTTTCTGTGAATTCGAAATTTTAGGGATTGAATTCAAAAATTAAGGGTTTTCTCAGTAATTAGGGTTTGAATTCGAAAATAGGGGTTTTCTCAATAATTAGGGATTTTATTTATTTATTTGATTTTCTGTAATTTCAAAATTTTAGGGCATGAATTGAATAATTAGGGCTGAAATGAATTTGTTTGAATTTAGGGCTGAAATGAATTTCTGTGATTTTTGTGATTTTTCTGTGATTTTTGTGAATTTCTGTGATTCT